GTATCTAAATTATATTGGGTTACGGTATTTTATCTTTATAAATAAGATTGATTATTATGTAATTAATTATTAAATGATCAAATTTCAATGAATAATAGATCTATGTAATTATACTAAGGTTTCATCTACATTCCTTTTAATTATAGAAAAATTAATGTTACAATTTGAAATTGTAATAAATTGTCATTATTAAATTAATAGTCGATTTAAATACGATAATATTATTGAGATATTCATCGATAAGCTAGTTAATTTATTCATTTATTGAATGGATTTTACTGTTCCAACTACCTACAACTATTACTCGTGTACTCGTTAAAATTAGATTCATACCCAACAATTTCGAATCAATTTCGCATTTAGTTGATAAATAAGACAAGAATGGTGGGTGAAACTCCGAGGGATATCCCATATGATAATATAGACGAACTGTAAATTTATATGTCTTGAAATCGAATTTTGACAATTTATTAAAATCAGGTCACGATAGATTTAACCCTCATAAATATTATAGTTCTGGCGTAGATGACCTACTTTTGATCAAATTAAAGAAAAAATTAATCGAAGTGCATGTAAACTGATCCACAATACTTCAGACCGATGAACCAAAAAAAAATGGTGGGTGGAAAATAAGTTTTCTGAACCTTACAAAACAAAAGATGAACNTATAAATATTATAGTTCTGGCGTAGATGACTACTTTTGATCAAATTAAAGAAAAAATTAATCGAAGTGCATGTAAACTGATCCACAATACTTCGGACCGATGAACCAAAAAAAATGGTGGGTGGAAAATAAGTTTTCTGAACCTTACAAAACAAAAGATGAACAACTGGAGTCTGCATTCAAGTCCATTGGTGCCTGGTCAATTTGGTTGTCTTAGCGTCCAGCGGACCATATGGCCCCATGTGAAGAGGAGGGTTTGACCCTCTCTCCCAAAAGAAAAGAACATTCTGATATTTCTCACAATAATCTCGTTGGTGCACCCTGCACNTGTCAATTTGGTTTTGTCTTAGCGTCCAACGGACCATATGGCCCCATGTGAAGAGGAGGGTTTGACCCTCTCTCCCAAAAGAAAAGAACATTCTGATATTTCTCACAATAATCTCGTTGGTGCACCCTGCACCATACAAAATGATTATGTTTGGGACGAAAAATCACATTTTGCATCAGAGAAACTGCCCTTCTCTTTCTTTTCCTATCTTTCTTTCTTTCTTTCACTCTCTTATAAAAGGGGGATCTTTCTGTTGATGCATTTAGTTCAATGGTTATTAGTTNTTTTCTTTCTCTCTCTTATAAAAGGGGGATCTTTCTGTTGATGCATTTAGTTCAATGGTTATTAGTTTTGTGGCCACATAGCATAGCACATACCCGACTCTCCATTTTCTGTGGAAAGTTTTTCTTTCTTGTTCTTGAAAGTCATCTGGGACCATCACTTGCACCTTAGAAGAGAAGAGGTAAGTTTGTTTCTTCAAAATGTCATAGTTAGAATGCATTTCTCTCTCTCTCCCCTCAACTTGGGTTATTATTTGGGTTTTTAAAATTTGGGATGATAATAGAATCAAGATATTCAAATTCGGCTCGTGTTCGATTTATTTTGAGTTAGCTCTAACTTACTTTGTATTCTAAACGATATTAAGTTCATTTAAAAAAACGAGTTCCGCTTAATTGAAAAGTNGTGTTCAGTTTATTTTGAGTTAGCTCTAACTTACTTCGTATTCTAAACGATATTAAGTTCATTTAAAAAAACGAGTTCCGCTTAATTGAAAAGTCAGATTCAATTATTAGATTGAATCCAAAGTTAATTTGAGTTTAATTCTTGAATAACACAATTTCATGTGAAACTTGAGTATGATTCGAGTTGAATAAAAATTCAATTGCTCCAGTTGGGTTCATATCTGTTTCAAAAAAACATAGATTCTAACTCGGTCACTATCAAATTTAAAATTTGTTTTTTTTTTCATAAACCCAATCCAAGTAGAGAAAATCTCAGCTCAAATTAAAGGGATTTCATTGATTCTATATTCACCCTTTTGTCTTCTCCACAGAAACTTTGTATCCAAAGCAACAGACCACAGCCATTCAAGCTAGAAAATATCTGGGAGAAGAAAATGATGCTGAGGAGCTCTTCAACACCAGTTCTTGGATCCCTCCTCTCACCCTTCTCAGACACTCCCAACAACATTCACCACCAGCCTGAAGTACCCCACACCACCGCCAAACACCCACCAACCACCACTCATCAAAACTACAACAAACTCTGTTTTCACCGAGCTGGATCTCAGAATTTCTCTACATTTTCATGCAACTCCTCTCCCATCTCTCCCTCCGTCTCCGAATTTTCGGGTACTGGCCGATGTTCCCCTATTGGTTTTAGTAGAGCTCAGTCTGAAGGGAATTTGGAAGGATTAGCCAATGCCGCCTCAGGCATCATTGATGAATTCAGTTTTTCAAACCCACTGAAGAAGTGTTCACGCAGAGCTACTAGCTCATTTTTAGAGACAATCCCATCTTTTTCATTTCACAAATATCTTAGGAGATATGAAGAAGAAGACGGTGATGAGGAAGACGAAGAAGAAGAAGAAGAAGAGCGGGAACAACAATTGGAGGAAAATGGTGAATTGTTTGGTAAACTATGTCTAATGAAGCAGNCGATGAAGAAGACGAAGAAGAAGAAGAAGAGCGGGAACAACAATTGGAGGAAAATGGTGAATTGTTTGGTAAACTATGTCTAATGAAGCAGAACATTAAATTGAATGAGGAAATGGGATATGGAAATGTGGGTCTTGAAGAGAGGGAAGAGGTCAGTCCACATATGTATCTTGCAAGAGGGCTTGGGGTCAGTGGTGTTGATATTGGTTTTGGTAGTAACGGGGGATTTAACGGCGGTGGTCGTGGCGGCGGAGGTGGGTTTTTTACATCAGTAGACTTCGGCAGGGACGATGGCGACAGCAACGGCATCGAGGACAATTTTAAGCGCATGGTGGTGGAGAATCCTGGCAACCCTTTGTTCTTGAGGAATTATGCTCAATTTCTGCATCAAGTTAGNCATTTTAAGCGGATGGTGGTGGAGAATCCTGGCAACCCTTTGTTCTTGAGGAATTATGCTCAATTTCTGCATCAAGTGAGTCCCCTAATTTATCATATACTCTATGCTTCTCTTACAAAGTCATATGCCCCCATCCTCATAACGAGTGGCTGTGCTCTTAATTTTGAAGCATTAACAAAACATTTACTTTTATCAAATCTATGTGATGTGCAACAAAAATACACCATCATACGTCGAAGAGAGGTGGTCGTGAAATTGAATCTCTCGTTATTTCTGAGACTCCATTTGAAACTTACTCGTAGTAACAACAGATCTCTAGAAGTCAAACAAACTAGACATGGAATTTGCATAAGATTCTACATTGGATAGTACTCTGTGTTTTAACAATGGAAACCCGTCACAACCATGTATTCTATAAATTCATGGTTATAACACAGTAAGTATGCAAAATCACCAGCAAATCAAGCATATTGGCCAGACCAAGATTCTACTTTGGATAGTACTCTGTTTTTAAACAATGGAAACCCGTCCCAACCATGGGTTCTATGAATTCGTGGTTATATCATAGTAAGTATGCAAAATCACCAGCAAATCAGGCATATTGGACAGAGACCAAGACTCTCTTACCCTTTCACGTTTAAACTACCTAGCATGTAACTGTTCTTTTTTTGGCAGTCAAAAGGAAATCTTGAACGAGCCGAGGAATACTATACCCGGGCTATTCTAGCAGACCCTGGAGATGGTGAAATTCTGTCACAATATGCTAAACTAGTGTGGGAGCTTCATCGGGATAGAGAAAGAACGACAAGCTACTTTGAACGAGCAGTTCAAGCCGCTTCTGAGGACAGGTTTGTTTTCCCGCTAGTGCATCTTACTAGTCATTGTGGAAAATCTTTTATTCTTTTTTTTTTTCGTGGGTGCCTATAACAAAATTCAACTAATTGAGTTTTGGTTTCGTGTTCTTCCAGCCATGTGCATGCAGCATATGCCAGTTTCCTTTGGGAAGCAGGAGAAGATGAAGATGAAGATGATGCACTTAACGATCCCCATGCGCCACCCCTTTTCCATAAGGCAGGCATGGCTTCTGTAACTGCTTAACTTTCGCAAGCTTTGGTAGATGTTACAGGGAACGATTTTAGTAGATCATTTAAATGGTTGAAAGCACAATCCATATGTCTTTGTAATGGGCGCGCGTGCGTGTGTGTGAGAGAGGGTGTTAGTATGTAGTTTGACAGGTACAGGAATTCAAGGATAAATATATAACATATATTTTACGTTCATTATATGAAAACCAGGATTACAAGCAAAATATAAAAAATACCCTTTTTTTGTCCAAACAAACAAGCATTCAAGCATTCCTTTTGTAAATTACTTAATGTTATGTACCTTGGTTTAACATTTTCTTTTATAGTAACATCTTTCCTCGAGCTGGAAGCAATAGCAGATGAATAGGAATAGGGACTGCGAATCTGTGGAAGTATACATCTGCAACACAAAGTAGTTAGATTTTGCCAGCCAATCTTGCAAAGAAACTACAAATTTGAAACTGTATGAAACAGAGACATAAGCTAAACCTTAAAGGTATGAAATGCAAGACAAACTAAGCATCAAAATCACAGGGCTCCATATTACACCAGAAACCAGCTTAGTCATGAGATTTGGCCCAAACAGAAGCTCCAAGGTACAAAAGTATTCCCTCTTGATTGCAAGTTAAAAAACAATCGAGGTGAAGAATAAGCATATGTGCCACAAACAGGAGAAATGGAATGATGAAATCTCTCAACATGCGTCAAACAGCACTAAAACCAATATTTGTTTTCGTAACATCACAAGGAAAATGTTTCCCTTCTAGAAACTGTTGAACTATAGCACCAATCTGCCTCGGTCAAGAGAAAACAGAAAAAAAAAAAAAGAAAGAAAGGAAAAGATTGGGGCTCAAGTAGTAGTAGTAGTTATGCCCAGTTGCTTCTACTTGGTGTGTCATGACCCTTTGGGTCATTACGAACCCTAGAATCCATTGCCTCTTTGTTTGCTGTTGTCATCCCCATCTTGATTGCTTCCCCTGTCAAAAGTATGTGCACCATATCACCCTTGCAGTGGCTCATTTTAATAACTTCCTCTGCCTCTTCCCCTTCCTGACCAAACAATTCAAAAGGCAGCAGTATGTTAACAAAGTTCTAGAAGCACAAATCACACAAATTGTGCTTCGCTTCAAACTGCAGGAATCACTAAAACCGTATGCCACTGTCATTAATATCATCACAACATCCCAATGCACCACAATTAGGCATAAATGGCACCCCCACTGCCACCACCACCAATCCCTGTCAACACCGCCACCCCACATCACCGAAACAGAATTGTGATACCCCAATCCCCTTTTTAGTCACTATCAACTCAACTCCCGCTTTTACATTTTGTTTCCTAGGAACAAAGAGCATGCATGTATCTTCTTGAGACTAGCTACACAGTCCACATGTTAAAGAGAGCTCAAGTGCTCAACCTTACATGGGAGAGAACAAGTGCATTATGGGACCATTCGCTGTGTAATAAAGAGAGCTCATGATGGGTATATGAAGATGCATTCTCACTTGGACATTAAAGCCAGTGCTTATTTTCTAAAACCCAAAGCACATTTACATTCTATATGAGCAGATGGAAAAAAGACACATCTGAGACCCAATTCAAAGAGAATCCAATAGTAGCCATTCAGATTTCCTTCAACTGCCAGTGGCTGTACAAGTCCACCTTATATAAGTTTAAGTCCAGTACCACCTCAATATAAGAATAACTTGTCCATCAATGATACTATATGGAATGTCAAAACCAAGAGAACAGTTTGTATTTATAAATTCTGGTAAAGAACCAGTTGGTGGCAGAATTAAAGATTCCAAAGAGTTCATACAAATACATCATGTTTCCCATTAAGTAAGAATCATAAGATAAAATAACAAATCAAATGGCGAATTATTATTTCCAAGAAAGAGTAATTTGAGGCACATACTCCCTCCACGAGAACTGCTACTGCTGCCGTTTGCTCTCCTCACTTCAACATAGACTCGTCTTCCAGCCAATTGTAAGGGAGATGCCTACAAAAAAAACCAACAAAATGAGAAAAAAAGAGGGGAGAGATACGCGGGGCTGTTTTTTTTATATATAATAAAAGGCATTGTCCAGTTTGGTCCATATTAATAGGTAGGGGATATTGGATTGGGTGCACTGGACAAAGACCTAAACGTTGGCATTATTAGCACAAAGTGGCTACCATCACATTCAAACCACAAACTCATGGTAGTTGAATCACTCTACTTAACATGTTTATGACGATGTACTGGAGCTTCGAGCTTCAGAGATATTAATTACAACAGTAACAAAAAGATGAATCTTCAACNATTCTTGAAGATTTTCGAGAGATTACATGCACTATCCCCACTGCCCCCAAAGATTAGTTTTGGAGCACTTACTCTTTCTCCTTGAGGAGATGCCTTCTTTAGACTAGTATAATATTTATCTACTCAGTGGAACACTTGAAAATGAATTCACAAATGCAACAGTTAACTTCTGAAACAGCCACAACAGAAACACCATCTTGTGGAATAGAAGAGTCCAAGAGATTGAAGCGGCAAAAGTTATGGACTGCTTAAGGATCGTGATTTCTGATAATATCCCACTGTGACCTTCTTGATATCTACATGACCAAAATCACAAACAGGACATTATGCACCAAACCCTAGCTTTGACTAGCTACAGCGGAACTGCTTTTAAACAGTCCATTTGGCGGACCAATCATAAATGCTTAATCCGCAAGTAATTAATTATAAGTACAGTTTAGCAGCTACTAGGAGTTTTCAACTCATTTCTATTACAAATAGCTTTTTCCAATATAGCAAATAATGCATGAAAGTAATATATTCAAAATGTTCATGGACTACGACAGTCCATTGTTTAGATCAGTGCACGTGTCCCAACATATGCACATAACTACTCGTTGGGAGACATGCCTTGACCTAGCAATGGATCCATCTTAGCATATGGGCCACATTTTAAGGCAACCTCTCGTTCTTTATGAAAGATAAATCTCTTAACTACAATATCAACATCAGCTTCTATAATTAAACCCTAGAATTCCTCACAATCCTATTTTGTAAACTCTTCTTAGTTCTACATAACTCCTTAGTCCTTCCACCACCCTTTTCAAGACAACTAGATAGCCTTAAGGTTACTAATATCCCTCCATCACCCATACATGCTCACAAGAACTAAATCCTTATGCAGAACAGATCCAACATCTCCTAGTGCAACTGCTCTACTTGATCAGAGCAATTTTAATCCCTGACAAAGATTTAGACTTAAAACGCTAAATCTACTGGTACTTCCTTATGGATGGCCTGGGGAACGACATGTCATTTGTGGGGAATATATCATGGTATTTCATATTTATGATCAAGGAACGTGCCCGATCAAATAACCATCCATGTTGGAACATATGTATTTTTATTAGTTGGAACAAATGTATTGATCCTTGCAATGAAATTCTTTTGGGACTGGTTTGGAGCCGCCTAAAGCTCTTCTCTAAGGAAAGACTTTTGTCAAACAGAGGATGAATTTCTTTACTCATTTGCAATTGGAGTCAAAGCATTACCAGCTTTGCCGAAACAGTCTTGCTAGAATTCCCATCTACCCGAACCATAGAACTATCATCGGTGTAAAAATGATGAACTAAATGAGGTCGTTGACAAAGAACCGGATAGTACTGTTGAACAAAGTAGCGACCAACCTGAAACACAAACACCAAAGATTGGAACACCCTAAAAAGATTGCATCAACACACCACAAAGACATATTCAATCCTTTCTTGATGACGCAATTGAATCACCTGAACAGCGCTGACAGAGGCACGGTAGGGACTCGCCATTACTCTCGCTCTCTCCCCTACAAGAGCGTTTAGCGAGAAAAGACAGTATCTTGAATTGATCAGATCCACCAAGAAGTACAATCTTTGGAACCCCAAATCAAGAACTCTAGAGAGTACAATAGAAATGATGAATTTGAATCAATATATGTTTCTTTTTCTTTATAGACCGATATAGTGAACAATGATACTGTGAGGAGAGAGAGAGAGAGAGAACTGTGTTGAGTTTTAATGGCTTTTTATTAAGTTGCTCCTTCTTGCCGCCATTATATGCCAGGGTGGATGAGGACCGTTAATAAGTGGGACCCACGAAAGATGAGTCAATCTGTGAAGTTTTTTTTTTTGTGTTTAAGGGCGAATTATATTTTATATCCCGATAAATTTTTTAAAATTTAATTTTATACCCAAAATATATTAAATTTCTAATATTACACTTAATGGAAGGATTATATTATAATATTTTTAATATATTAAAAGTGTAACATGAGAAATTAAATCTTTAAAAATATAAAATTAAAATTTTTAAATCTTTTGACGTAAAAANACTATTTTTTTTTAATAAGAAACAAACTTCCAAATGCCAGTAAGCTTCTCATTTTGAAATTTCTACACTAAAAATAACGTTGCAAACATGCTTCAGCACGAAAAGCAACAAATGTACGATCAGTAAATCCACAAGACATGCAAATAGACAAAACTAAAACTAATGAACATCACAAATCATCAGACAAATTTGAAACTGCTAATTTCCTGTTGAGGCAGCACAAGCTGCGCTAAAATGACTGCCCTCAANGTCTACAAGTGTAATTGACAACAAAATATGATACTTCTTGTTACGTACATAATTTTGAGTGATTTGTAAAACAAAGAAAAAATATAATCGAGGAAGAAAATCCGCTTCGAGGGGGTGGCAATTCGAGAAGAACCGATCTCCAAAACTTCTACAATAAAGTTCAATATAATATTCAACATATTCACTTCCTTGATAAAAAAAACCTTTAAATACATGATAATAAAACTACTTTAATAATTAATCTAACTCATGACTCCCACTATCTTAGTAACTACCTTGAAATTACCCACAAAATACTCTATTACATATTACATAAAAATATATTAAAAACATGTACAATATTTTAAATATTGTTAGGTAATTTTTTCAAGTTTCACAAAATTACTTTTGGCATATATTAGGAGAAGTCTATACTTAAGTGTAGTCGATTAGTATAACTCCATCTTTTAGGCAAGAAAAAGATGGAGAAAAGCACGGTTCAAAAACTCGAGTTAGCTCATTTTGAACCACCACCTACTTTTGAACCAATTCTTGATTCCAAATGTAGTGACCCAAAGAAAGGCACACTGGCAGCTCATAGTCCCGGCAAGCGCAATGCGGACGGATATAATATAATACAAAATACTTTTTACAATCAAATATAATATAAGATTAGATTAAAGAATTTGTTACGACTCCTTAATACACCCCTTTAATACCGTAACCGACCTGTATGTGTAAATCGGCTATGAGATTATTCTCATACCCTAAATATAAAATGTTATTGTCAAGCTATCATAAACCAGAAGAAAAACAAAGTGATTTATTGCTCAAAACATATACCACTTTAGTATATGAATAGGGCTAAATGCACACATACTTACCACCAAAGAAACAAAAAAATTGGTCTAATAACTCAAAACTCAAACCTGAGACATCAGAATTACAACACCACACATGCCATCACACCCCATCTCCAACTGCCCATCTCCAACAACAAAAAAAGAAAAAATGAGACAGTTGCCACCCCTAGTATAAAACAATTCAATCTCAAGAAGATTCAACTGAAATGCTGTTAAAATTTTGATTATGAAGCATTCGGCACCAAGATGACAATGGTCCACGGATACATCATAAACAGTTAAAACCATATCTAGCTAATAATCTAACCTATTAAAAGAAACAATCTATTACATCGAACCCATGAAGCCATTTTTCAGCATCTGTCCTAAGGCTTCAGAAGGCTCCTCGGAGCACGCTGGCAGCCCACCACCAAATCAGACATTTTACAGAAGAAATGAGATTCCCGCCTCAACACAACAAGTGGCATATCCTCCAGAATACACGAAAATGGCAAAACAAAAAATGAATAAATATAAATACAATCACTGCTTTAGCATGCTCGCTTTCCTATCCCAAGTGCTTGTCAACTTCCTCCACAACCATGTCCAAACAACACCCATGGTATGGCTCAATTTGTTACAGCCAACAAAGTTGGTTGAAACTTCCAAGTGGCAAAACAGTGTAGGATAATCTTTGTCAGCTCAGTAATTACTGCCATAATAAGCCTGAGGAGGAGCTGAAGTAGGTTGCTGCGCTGTAGTCAAGGTTGCAGCTGTGGATGATGGAGCGTAACTTTGCTGGGGGAAAGCCAGTGAAATTTCAAAAAAAAAAAAAAAAAATTGATACTTGCAGATAATAGAGGCAGATTTAACAGAAAAATTCTTCTCAGATAAAAAGATAGCTTTATACCAAAGAATAAGCCAACAAAAAAAAAAAAAGAGAAATAATTGATCAAAATTATCAAATAGACTGGAAAACCTTCAACTGCATGACCAAAGAAACCATAAAAATCCATATCTCCGAAGTTATACAGATTGATATGCAACAAAATTTGAGTTACCTGGGCCACATATGTAGAAGGATAAGCACCATAAGCAGCAGTCTGGGCCACAGATGATGGGGTTTGTGGATGTACATAGCTGCTCCCATAGCTACCAAATGCACTGTATGCAGCCTAAAGTTTCACAATAAATTAAAAACTATATTATGTTGCCAAATCAGGATTAACAATAAAACAAGCTTTTGGTTAATGAATACAAGCAAGGTCTCCAAACCAGAATCGGTGTTCGTGGTTGTGTATATGCAGAAATTTGTCTCACTAATCAGAATAGAACTAAGCAGAAGAGTTGTGAGCATTATATCCACAATCTTACAGGAAATCATGGAGGCCATTGTTTTAAACTTCAAAAGGTGTCACGTCCCAATTTTTTTTTCTTTAAAAAAAATTATCCCGGCGTGATTAAGGAATAAAACCACATATAACTTACAATAATCTTCCTTGTATTATTATATTCAAAGGTACAATTACATAATCCTCAATCGATCAATTAAAATGACCTTGATATAACATAAAAATAAAATAATAATAGCAGTCTCTATCCACTGTCCTTTTAGCTTATCCTCCTATCTGACTTTATATTTCTGAAAAATATTATATAGGAATGAGCTCACCAGCCCAGTAGGGTATAATTTATCAATGACTATCAAGATTTTAAACAATACATGATATAATTAAACAACAGGTAAATTCAGGAATAGGACAAAGTAATGAATTAAATAATAAATAAATTTCAACACATATCGATCATAACAATCCGTCAATTTTCTGATCCACGCATGAACCACCTCCGAANATAATGTTAGACGCATCTGGCTCACATTTCTTTATCATGGATACATGAAACACATCATGTATTCCTGATAACTTAGCTGACAAGTTAAGCTGATAAGCTACATTTCCTATGCGTTGTATTAACTCAAAGGGTCTAATATATCTGGGGAGCCAACTTACCTTTTTTTCCAAAACTAGATATTCCTTTCCTAGGGATACCTTCAAGAATACATAATCACCCACTTAAAACTCCAAGGGCCTCCTCCTTTGATCTGTATAGCTCTTTTGTTGACTTTGAGCCGTGCGTAGCAGATCCCAAACTATTTTGATCTTTTCAGTGTTTTCTCGGACAATTTCTGGACCAAATAAAATATTATCACTAGCTTTGGCCCAACATAAAGGTGATCTACAGGGTCGTCTGGTACAAAGCCTCATACAGAGCCATGTCNATGCGTAGCAGATCCCAAACTATTTGGATCTTTTCAGTGTTTTCTCGGACAATTTCTGGACCAAATAAAATACTATCACTAGCTTTGGCCCAACATAAAGGTGATCTACAGGGTCGTCTGGTACAAAGCCTCATACAGAGCCATGTCAATACTGCTTTGATAGCTGTTATTGTAAACAAATTTCACCGGTGGAAAATGTACATTCCAATTGCCTTTAAAATCTAGAGCGCAAGCTCATAACATATCTTCCAATATTTGGATCACCCTTTCGAATTGACCATCTGTTNTAAGTGCATGAATTTGCTGCAGAAGGAGAGGAAAATATATATTACAAAACTTCATTTATTCCAACCTAGAAGCTACACATTGTGGCAATCAAACAAAATAAGTTAAATGAAGCACACAAAGTCATAAACGTGGAGGCTTACATAACTAAAACAAATAAATCACGGAATTAAGACAAAAAGTGTAGTTCCATCTGCTGAAACTTCCAAAAATGTTCATAATCAACAGCTTTACATGAAAAACATCAATTACTGAGAGTAGCATCAACTTATTTGGTCCCCTTGTTGGACATCAACAGCTAGTCCCACCTCATATGGTACTACACTACTACCACTATTATACATCAATACNTTTGAGAATGGTAGGCAGTACTGAAATGCAACTCGGTTCTCATGGCTTTTTGTAAACTTTGTCAAAATTGAGTCACAAAGCGAGTATCTCAATCTGANCTTCTTGAAGATTTTCGAGAGATTACATGCACTATCCCCACTGCCCCCAAAGATTAGTTTTTGAGCACTTACTCTTTGTCCTTGAGGAGATGCCTTCTTTAGACTAGTATAATATTTATCTACTCAGTCGAACACTTGAAAATGAATTCACAAATGCAACAGTTAACTTCTGAAACAGCCACAACANGTCAAAATTGAGTCACAAAGCGAGTATCTCAATCTGACACGATTGATAACGATACCCCATGTAATCTTACAATCTCCCATATATAAAGTTAACTTAACATAGCTAGAGTATCAGTATTCTTCATAGCTAAGAAATAAGCTGATTTGGTGAGTCGATCCTATAACCCATACAACATTGTATCCCTTGGTAGTTCTGGGCAATCCAATCACAAAATTCATAGTGATATGATCTCATTTCTACTCTGGAATAGGTAAGAATTGTAATAATCCATCAGGATCTGATGCTCTACTTTTACTTGCTGACATATGGCACATAAGCTATAAATTTAGTCACATCCTTCTTCATTTTTTTCCACCGATATTGGTGTTTCATATCTTGATACATTTTTGTGCTGCCAAGATGTATGGANGCACCAAACCCTAGCTTTGACTAGCTATAGCAGAACTGCTTTTAAACAGTCCATTTGGCGGACCAATCATAAATGCTTAATTAATTATAAGTACAGTTTAGCAGCTACTAGGAGTTTTCAACTCATTTCTATTACAAATAGCTTTTTCCAATATAGCAAATAATGCATGAAAGTAATAAATTCAAAATGTTCATGGACTACGACAGTCCATTGTTTAGATCAGTGCACGTGTCCCAACATATGCACATAAATACTCGTTGGGAGACATGCCTTGACCTAGCAATGGATCCATCTTAGCATATGGGTCACATTTTAAGGCAACCTCTCGTTCTTTATGAAAGATAAATCTCTTAACTACAATATCAACATCAGCTTCTATAATTAAACCCTACAATTCCTCACAATCCTATTTTGTAAACTCTTCTTAGTTCTACATAACTCCTTAGTCCTTCCACCACCCTTTTCAAGACAACTAGATAGCCTTAAGGTTACTAATATCCCTCCATCACCCATACATGCTCACAAGAACTAAATCCTTATGCAGAACAGATCCAACATCTCCTAGTGCAACTGCTCTACTTGATCAGAGCAATTTTAATCCCTGACAAAGATTTAGACTTAAAACGCTAAATCTACTGGTACTTCCTTATGGATGGCCTGGGGAACGACATGTCATTTGTGGGGAATATATCATGGTATTTCATATTTATGATCAAGGAACGTGCCCGATCAAATAACCATCCATGTTGGAACATATGTATTTTTATTAGTTGGAACAAATGTATTGATCCTTGCAATGAAATTCTTTTGGGACTGGTTTGGAGCCGCCTAAAGCTCTTCTCTAAGGAAAGACTTTTGTCAAACAGAGGATGAATTTCTTTACTCATTTGCAATTGGAGTCAAAGCATTACCAGCTTTGCCGAAACAGTCTTGCTAGAATTCCCATCTACCCGAACCATAGAACTATCATCGGTGTAAAAATGATGAACTAAATGAGGTCGTTGACAAAGAACCGGATAGTACTGTTGAACAAAGTAGCGACCAACCTGAAACACAAACACCAAAGATTGGAACACCCTAAAAAGATTGCATCAACACACCACAAAGACATATTCAATCCTTTCTTGATGACGCAATTGAATCACCTGAACAGCGCTGACAGAGGCACGGTAGGGACTCGCCATTACTCTCGCTCTCTCCCCTACAAGAGCGTTTAGCGAGAAAAGACAGTATCTTGAATTGATCAGATCCACCAAGAAGTACAATCTTTGGAACCCCAAATCAAGAACTCTAGAGAGTACAATAGAAATGATGAATTTGAATCAATATATGTTTCTTTTTCTTTATAGACCGATATAGTGAACAATGATACTGTGAGGAGAGAGAGAGAGAGAGAACTGTGTTGAGTTTTAATGGCTTTTTATTAAGTTGCTCCTTCTTGCCGCCATTATATGCCAGGGTGGATGAGGACCGTTAATAAGTGGGACCCACGAAAGATGAGTCAATCTGTGAAGTTTTTTTTTTTGTGTTTAAGGGCGAATTATATTTTATATCCCGATAAATTTTTTAAAATTTAATTTTATACCCAAAATATATTAAATTTCTAATATTACACTTAATGGAAGGATTATATTATAATATTTTTAATATATTAAAAGTGTAACATGAGAAATTAAATCTTTAAAAATATAAAATTAAAATTTTTAAATCTTTTGACGTAAAAAATATGATTTACCCAAGTTTAAAAAAAAATTTATCTAACTACCACCGTTTTAATTTTATTTATTCAAGTTTTGTATTTTAAAATTTATCTATTAAATTATAGTTGTTTTTAAAATATATTTTAAATAGCCAAAATAATTTAATAAATAAAATATATTTTTAAAAAATAAAAATAATTTAGTAAACAAATTTAAAACCACAAGACTTGAATAAATAAACTTTAAAACATCAATATATAAATAATTAATTCTTATTTTCTACGAGTGTATATTGAGATTTTGCGTCTACAAGTGTAATTGACAACAAAATATGATACTTCTTGTTACGTACATAATTTTGAGTGATTTGTAAAACAAAGAAAAAATATAATCGAGGAAGAAAATCCGCTTCGAGGGGGTGGCAATTCGAGAAGAACCGATCTCCAAAACTTCTACAATAAAGTTCAATATAATATTCAACATATTCACATCATTGATAAAAAAAACCTTTAAATACATGATAATAAAACTACTTTAATAATTAATCTAACTCATGACTCCCACTATCTTAGTAACTACCTTGAAATTACCCACAAAATACTCTATTACATATTACATAAAAATATATTAAAAACATGTACAATATTTTAAATATTGTTAGGTAATTTTTTCAAGTTTCACAAAATTACTTTTGGCATATATTAGGAGAAGTCTATACTTAAGTGTAGTCGATTAGTATAACTCCATCTTTTAGGCAAGAAAAAGATGGAGAAAAGCACGGTTCAAAAACTCGAGTTAGCTCATTTTGAACCACCACCTACTTTTGAACCAATTCTTGATTCCAAATGTAGTGACCCAAAGAAAGGCACACTGGCAGCTCATAGTCCCGGCAAGCGCAATGCGGACGGATATAATATAATACAAAATACTTTTTATCATCAAATATAATATAAGATTAGATTAAAGAATTTGTTACGACTCCTTAATACACCCNAGTATTTATACCAGAACTGGAAATAATATCTTTAGAGGTTGGATTGTCCTCTTCTTCTTTTCCCATGTCTTTAAGACATTCCGCTATGCCTTGGCATTTAGATTCAAGCGGGTAATTATTCCAGAATTAGACATGATATTCCTTGATTAATCTAGGGTGTCCGTTTTGATTAAAATCACAGGCCAAAGTCTACACCCAAATCCATAGAACAAAGAATTCGAGTGAGAAATTAATAATAGGCTTGGCTTCAAAATATTATTATCATTTAAGGATGGATTTTTCTCTTTATATAAGTCATATTATTATCATTTCGTTGTTCTTTATTTACGATCCTTTATCTGTTGGTATCAGAGTATTTATACCAGAACTGGAAATAATATCTTTAGAGGTTGGATTGTCCTCTTCTTCTTTTCCCATGTCTTTAAGACATTCCGCTATGCCTTGGCATTTAGATTCAAGCGGGTAATTATTCCAGAATTAGACATGATATTCCTTGATTAATCTAGGGTGTCCGTTTTGATTAAAATCACAGGCCAAAGTCTACACCCAAATCCATAGAACAAAGAATTCGAGTGAGAAATTAATAATAGGCTTGGCTTCAAAATATTATTATCATTTAAGGATGGATTTTTCTCTTTATATAAGTCATATTATTATCATTTCGTTGTTCTTTATTTACGATCCTTTATCTGTTGGTATCAGAGTATTTATACCAGAACTGGAAATAATATCTTTAGAGGTTGGATTGTCCTCTTCTTCTTTTCCCATGTCTTTAAGACATTCCGCTATGCCTTGGCATTTAGATTCAAGCGGGTAATTATTCCAGAATTAGACATGATATTCCTTGATTAATCTAGGGTGTCCGTTTTGATTAAAATCACAGGCCAAAGTCTACACCCAAATCCATAGAACAAAGAATTCGAGTGAGAAATTAATAATAGGCTTGGCTTCAAAATATTATTATCATTTAAGGATGGATTTTTCTCTTTATATAAGTCATATTATTATCATTTCGTTGTTCTTTATTTACGATCCTTTATCTGTTGGTATCAGAGTATTTATACCAGAACTGGAAATAATATCTTTAGAGGTTGGATTGTCCTCTTCTTCTTTTCCCATGTCTTTAAGACATTCCGCTATGCCTTGGCATTTAGATTCAAGCGGGTAATTATTCCAGAATTAGACATGATATTCCTTGATTAATCTAGGGTGTCCGTTTTGATTAAAATCACAGGCCAAAGTCTACACCCAAATCCATAGAACAAAGAATTCGAGTGAGAAATTAATAATAGGCTTGGCTTCAAAATATTATTATCATTTAAGGATGGATTTTTCTCTTTATATAAGTCATATTATTATCATTTCGTTGTTCTTTATTTACGATCCTTTATCTGTTGGTATCAGAGTATTTATACCAGAACTGGAAATAATATCTTTAGAGGTTGGATTGTCCTCTTCTTCTTTTCCCATGTCTTTAAGACATTCCGCTATGCCTTGGCATTTAGATTCAAGCGGGTAATTATTCCAGAATTAGACATGATATTCCTTGATTAATCTAGGGTGTCCGTTTTGATTAAAATCACAGGCCAAAGTCTACACCCAAATCCATAGAACAAAGAATTCGAGTGAGAAATTAATAATAGGCTTGGCTTCAAAATATTATTATCATTTAAGGATGGATTTTTCTCTTTATATAAGTCATATTATTATCATTTCGTTGTTCTTTATTTACGATCCTTTATCTGTTGGTATCAGAGTATTTATACCAGAACTGGAAATAATATCTTTAGAGGTTGGATTGTCCTCTTCTTCTTTTCCCATGTCTTTAAGACATTCCGCTATGCCTTGGCATTTAGATTCAAGCGGGTAATTATTCCAGAATTAGACATGATATTCCTTGATTAATCTAGGGTGTCCGTTTTGATTAAAATCACAGGCCAAAGTCTACACCCAAATCCATAGAACAAAGAATTCGAGTGAGAAATTAATAATAGGCTTGGCTTCAAAATATTATTATCATTTAAGGATGGATTTTTCTCTTTATATAAGTCATATTATTATCATTTCGTTGTTCTTTATTTACGATCCTTTATCTGTTGGTATCAGAGTATTTATACCAGAACTGGAAATAATATCTTTAGAGGTTGGATTGTCCTCTTCTTCTTTTCCCATGTCTTTAAGACATTCCGCTATGCCTTGGCATTTAGATTCAAGCGGGTAATTATTCCAGAATTAGACATGATATTCCTTGATTAATCTAGGGTGTCCGTTTTGATTAAAATCACAGGCCAAAGTCTACACCCAAATCCATAGAACAAAGAATTCGAGTGAGAAATTAATAATAGGCTTGGCTTCAAAATATTATTATCATTTAAGGATGGATTTTTCTCTTTATATAAGTCATATTATTATCATTTCGTTGTTCTTTATTTACGATCCTTTATCTGTTGGTATCAGAGTATTTATACCAGAACTGGAAATAATATCTTTAGAGGTTGGATTGTCCTCTTCTTCTTTTCCCATGTCTTTAAGACATTCCGCTATGCCTTGGCATTTAGATTCAAGCGGGTAATTATTCCAGAATTAGACATGATATTCCTTGATTAATCTAGGGTGTCCGTTTTGATTAAAATCACAGGCCAAAGTCTACACCCAAATCCATAGAACAAAGAATTCGAGTGAGAAATTAATAATAGGCTTGGCTTCAAAATATTATTATCATTTAAGGATGGATTTTTCTCTTTATATAAGTCATATTATTATCATTTCGTTGTTCTTTATTTACGATCCTTTATCTGTTGGTATCAGAGTATTTATACCAGAACTGGAAATAATATCTTTAGAGGTTGGATTGTCCTCTTCTTCTTTTCCCATGTCTTTAAGACATTCCGCTATGCCTTGGCATTTAGATTCAAGCGGGTAATTATTCCAGAATTAGACATGATATTCCTTGATTAATCTAGGGTGTCCGTTTTGATTAAAATCACAGGCCAAAGTCTACACCCAAATCCATAGAACAAAGAATTCGAGTGAGAAATTAATAATAGGCTTGGCTTCAAAATATTATTATCATTTAAGGATGGATTTTTCTCTTTATATAAGTCATATTATTATCATTTCGTTGTTCTTTATTTACGATCCTTTATCTGTTGGTATCAGAGTATTTATACCAGAACTGGAAATAATATCTTTAGAGGTTGGATTGTCCTCTTCTTCTTTTCCCATGTCTTTAAGACATTCCGCTATGCCTTGGCATTTAGATTCAAGCGGGTAATTATTCCAGAATTAGACATGATATTCCTTGATTAATCTAGGGTGTCCGTTTTGATTAAAATCACAGGCCAAAGTCTACACCCAAATCCATAGAACAAAGAATTCGAGTGAGAAATTAATAATAGGCTTGGCTTCAAAATATTATTATCATTTAAGGATGGATTTTTCTCTTTATATAAGTCATATTATTATCATTTCGTTGTTCTTTATTTACGAT